AATAAATAAATAAATAAATATTTAATAAACCCCAAACAAAACAGAAAACCCCACACCCAAAAACCCAACAATTTCTACAGGCCAGTCCACCAGCCTCCTCTCCCTCGTATCACATTAAAGATCTCATCTTGGTATTTTTGCATCACAGGCCTGGCCATTCAGTGAGGAAGCAAAGGACAGAAGTTTATATTGTACCCAACTGTATCTTTTCTTTATTGTTCTATAAAAATTTTACAAGTCTTCCATGAACGTAGATAATTCTAGTGGTTTCAAAGAAATCTTTGCAGTCATTGATTTGAAGTTGTTTTTTTCTTTTGTTATAAGTCATCATATTGGCATTTATTGTGCTATATTTCATGTTATACTGTCGTTAGTGTTATGCATTGCTATTTACTGTTTCTGTAGGAATATGTATAGTTACTAGACCTTTGATTATTAAAAAACCAGAAATAGTGTCTGGATGATTTTTGTGTAACTAGATATGTAATAAACTGAACATGAGCAAAATAGAATTTTTCATTTAACTTTGTCTTATGCAGATGAAGAAAAAGCAAAATTAGATCCATCTTACTATTTGAAAAACACAAATACAGAGACCCGAGAGACTTTACTGGAGCTTTATAAGGAATTCAAAGGCGATGATATTCTAGCAGCAACTATGAAGGCTCCTGAAAAGAAGAAAGTGGATAAGCTGAATGCAGTAAGTTGCCTTAATTTGTAGTTTGTCACTGATTGACTTCTTCAAGAATGGTAATAGATGTTTTTCAGTTTAGTGGCCTTATTGCAGTATAAACAGACACTACTCCCATTGTATGGAAATTCGTCATGGGTGAGAATGAGAGAATCATCTTGGGATTCCTTAGAAATACACTGTATGTGTCAGTGAGTTTCTCTTTGTTAAAACATTGTAAATGAACCTAAACATTTTAGAAATGGAGCACAATAAGAAGGAAGAACTTTTTTGATGTGGTTATGATGTATATGTTGGCAGAACCTTTTTTCCCAGGTTGTAATCTCTTGCTTTGAATTTGTTTATCATTGCTTCCTGCAGTTATTGGCAGAAGGAATACACCTTAAGGGCAGTGAAGTGAATCATTTCTAGTGTGGGCAAATATTTAAACCATCCACAGCTGCTTCTCCATTTTATTCCACTGGAATGTAGGATTTTTAGTGGAATATTTTAAAGGATGTTCCACCAGGTGCATGTTACTATGTGTTGGTGGTTGTCAAGAGAAACAATTCATCTGCATCTATATTTCCTACATCAAAGGCTGTTTGAATTGGGCAAGCCAGAGTATTCTGCTTTCCTTTAGTAATTCTGAGATGTGTCTTCATGCTTTGATTACACTTACAAAAAATGAACAGCAATGTAGCATATGGCTTTTAATGAGGAGGCTTAGTGACAGGTTAGGGAGTGTGTGTGACCAAGGAGTAGGATCACATTTGCCCCTTTTGCCGGGCATCGTAGTTTTGTAAAAAAACAAAAGAAGTAGGGAGAAACAAAAGAGGTGAGAGACAATGATGAGCTCTACACATGTTGGAGAGTCAGACGGGGCATAACTATGAACCTGCATGGGATGCAGTGTAACCTTTGGAGAGAGCGCTGGCCTGACCTGTGCTCTTCACAGGCATTGCCCCAGCGCCCCTAAACCTGTCTCGGGGTTTATTAGATCTTTAAACAAAACCCATGGGTGGCGTTCACATTTCCTTTCTGCAGGAGAACTACAATGCTCAAAATAGACATCGGGAACTGTGGGACAGTGCCTCTGCACACAGAAGGGCTGTGTGTGGGAGGCGGGTGGATTCCTTTCCTCCGCAGTATCTCTGTGGTTCACTGGATTTTCCTTCCACTTACTCAGCAACATTGGAGAATTTTACAGTTGTCTTGCCAGCAGCGCTTCTTTCATATCTCCACCTGTGGACATACAAATAAATTCTGATAACAGATTCTTTGCATAATGATGTATCAAACTGTAGTGGAAGCAATAAGCCCCTTCAGCTCCACGCATGGGCAGCCTTAACTAGAGTTTCATCAGAGCAAGTGTGATGGGTAACAGATGGGGAATTATCGCTGCGTCGTGCATTTGTTTCTTTCTGTAGGAGCTAGAGCGGAAAGTCTGCCTTCAGAAGGGTGACATTTCTGTGTTTCTAGTGCTTGTGTAGTATCTTTAGGAGATGAACTCTAAGATATAATGTAGTCTTCTCTTGTTTTTTCCTCTGTCAACAGGCTCACTATTCCACTGGAGCAGTAAGTGCTTCCTTCACCTCCACTGCAATGGTGCCTGAAACTACCCATGAAGCAGGTACTAGAACTTCCTAGCTGCAAGTCATTTATTTTCCAGTTTTAAAGTGTGCTCCCTAGCATGCATATACTTATGAGGACTGAAGGAATACATTGATAATTGGTCCATACTGATGCCATGGAAATGTATTCCCTGAGCAGATACATCCTTACTTTCCAGTGAGCTCATTCTGAAAATAATGGAGCAATTACGGATTAGCTTTGGTTTTGAATGGCAGTTACTTATGAACTAAAATTAATGAGGTATTTTCTATGCCCAGGGACCACAAAATGGGATAACTACTTATGTAAGTGAGGAATGAACTGTAATCTCTCCTCAAATAGCATACAAAATCTTTACCACCTTTTTGGCCTGATCTGGTATTGGTTAGAATGACAGCAAATTTTGTGGTGATAACTTTCGATTTACTGCTTTTCAAAGTTACACAAAAATGCATTTTAGCACAATAAATTTTTCCTTTCATTCTCTAGCCTAAACACAAATATATAGAATTTATTTAATTTGAATATTGATTAAATAACTGAGCAATTAGTATTCCTAGCTGAAGAGAAAGGTCTGGCTTTTGACACTAAAATTTAGAAGTATGTCACACACTTAGGCAAAGATTGAATACATTGCTGAAATTACATCTGCGAAGTTAAATTTCTTTGCTTAATGGATTACAGCGATTTTCAGGTGAATCTTTGAGTGTTTAAAATATCTGACTAACTGGACATTTTGACAAAATGGAAGTGGAAACATCCTAGATAGATCCTTTGGTTTGACTTTCCAGTAATGTTTCCAGTAACTTTGCTTCATTTGTTTTCAGAACTGGGTACGTCCTCATATGTCAGCAATTTGTGGTTGACTAATGATTACCTGCTTGGCTTCCAAGTTTAACAAGAAACAATTTGGTTCCAAAGTAACGTTTGTGATTGGTAGACATTGCTTGAAAATTATAGTTTGTAATATTGAATGCTTCTGTGACTTAAAAATATAGATGATATTGTTGGCTCTCGGGGAGCTGGTGGTTTTCTATAATGGAAAGTGTTTTGCACAGAAATTCATGTGAGGTTATCATAGATGAATTGCACAGTACAATCCCTGAAGACCCAGTACCCAGGGGAAGAGGTCATACAGTAGAATCTAGCAATTTGTTTTCTGATAATTTCTAAAGATCAGTGAGTAAGCTTCCAGAGATCTAATTATTGTCTTTTGCTTTGATACAGCTGCTATTGATGAAGATGTTGTGAGATACAAATACGTGAAGAAGAAGGGCTATGTGCGACTTCACACTAATAAAGGAGACCTAAACTTGGAGCTGCACTGTGATATGGTACTGTGCACAGCATAAGATGAATCTCTTTAGATAACAAACTAGGAGCTAGCAGTGGAAATCTCCAAAGAAAGGAACAGTGTGTAGTTGTAATAGTTGAATAACCAGCTTTCAGTTGTTTTTGTGGTTTTTCATACGTACACAAAATTCCACTGTAAAATGTATATATATTATTGTAGCTTTTATACTACTATATGTGTAAATGTTCTCTGTGAGTAGTCCCATACATTTTAGTGGACTACTTACAACATGTTTAGAGCTTCAAATGGTCAGGACTGTAGTGAACCAAACAATGACAAGGAAGGTAGAGATTAAAACGAAGTAAGAGCACAGTGAAGAGAGAATACCCAAGGTTACACAGCAGGTTACTGGCAGAACCAGAAAAAGTACCTCAGTGAAACTGAGAGCAGTCTGTCAGCCTGAGTCTATGTAGTTCAGATCCCCAGAAATGGTTAGATTTCCTTCCAGATCTGGAGCTTTACAAAACAAACCTAAATGAAAACCTTAGAATATGTTTTTTACTTTGTGCTGTCTCAGTTTTTAAGGTTCAAGTTTTCAAACATCTTCCCTTGGCCATTGAGAGGTAGACATTCATTTTAAAAAACAATGGTCTAGGGTTTTTTTATCATCAATACAGTCTGATTCTGGGGGAAATCTGTGGCTCTTAAAATGATAAACATGGTAAGACTTGAGTTTTGGCAACACTGATGTCTCAGATGTCACTGCTTGCTAGCGTGCTGGCTTATTTGTACAACCACATCTATAAAAGGAAAAAAGTCCAAACCTTCTGTTGTTTACTGAAATTTTTATCTCAGGAGCTTATGGGTCTGAAGGTGGATGTTTAAGGATGTGAATAGGCGTTTAAATGATAAAACTTCTGCTGCTTGTGACCCTCATAGAATCTAAGGGCAGTGGTGCTGGCTAGGAGCTGGGGTGACTGCTAGAGATGCACTGGGAGAATACATCCCTTTTTGCCTGGGAGAAAGAAAAAGGATAAAACAGGACGAGCCTGCTAGCTTTCCCTTTTCCTTTCTTTCCCTTGAGAAAGGAGCAGGACACATAGAAACATCTCAAGCTGATCTGTGGAAACAGTATGAGGCTCTCCACAGCAATGTATCATGCTAGTAATCTGTAGGTCCCTGTCATCCCTACAGGTGTTTTCCATGCTCTTAAATAGTAACACTATGTAATAAGGGAAAAAGCAGAGGATGTTAGTACAGCAATATTTGGGGGAAGCAGCAGAATGAGCAGATTGCACTGAATCATTTGTTTTGCCATATGTTCTCAAACTGGCTCCTGGCTAACGTAGGCTGACTGCAGCTATTCTTACCAGTGTGGTGGTTTTGGCCACATGTGTGACCAGTGTCACTCAGTCCAGAGGACCCAGTCTCAACTGCCTATTATAAACTTCCTGTATGATATCCATTGTGTTTCCTTTCTTCCCAGATGAATCCCTGTTCATCTCCCTTCCATACACACTGCTTCCTCACGTACACATTGGAAGTGTGCACTGTTTTACACAACCAGACCTACTTGAACACTGGCCTCTAGCCATCTGCTTCCAAGTGTTGATTAAATCTGTGTGAATTAAGCAGCCCTTTGGCAGCGCAGAAGGGAAAAAGATATATATTTAGAATAAGTAGGAAAAACTTGCTGCTTTAAGAAGGTTTTCACAACATCCACTTTAGGTCATCATTCTGGGTCTATTCAATCAGTTCTTCCGGGAGGTGCTTGTTTTTCTTCCTTTACTATATAAGGAGTTTGTGCTTCTAACTTTGGTTTTCCTGAATCACACTGAGGTTAGGCACATATGGTGTGCTCAGTGCAGATAGAGCAAATGTCTTACAAACATATAACACATATATGTCATAAACATGTAGAATCATAGAACCATATACACAGATCAGCTACAGTGGATCTATTGAGATTGCAAAGACACACATAGAAAATAGGGAAATGCCAAGATCAAGCCTTTCTAAAAAGATCCAGTTCACCCTGCTTGTGAATATGCATGGTAATAAGCTTAATTAATCATATGCTGAGTTTTTTATCACCTCTCCTGGCTTATTCAGTGCACAAGCTGAACCAGTTCTGGGAGCTATTTGGAACTGTCTAGTGAAATGGTTTATATGCAGGATTTGGTTTTACTGCAAAAGTGTAGAATGTGGGTAAGGGCCTTGAATGCAGTGAGGGGGAACTGGACTGTATCATGATGCTTGCCCAAATTAACGTTGCACAGGCTTTTTGGTGCCCGACTTTTCAACCTTCGTGTTTCTTAACATAGTTGGCCTGGGTAGTCCCCCAGCTTTTCAGAAAGAAACGCAGCAACAGATTCCAGCCCAAAGCACTGTATTGATGCACAGAGATAAGATTCGGGACCCCTGGATTCTACTTGGCTGAATGAGAGAGCCGGTAGCAGTATTGCAAACAGTCATTGCTGTTTGAATTTAGACGGAATATGTGTGACTTGGGAAATTCACACATCTGCTCTCTCAAGCAGTGCAATTGCAGGAGCAGGTATATGATTTATAAGCCGTATTCTAGGGGTGCTTAGCTTCTCTTTTTAAAGACTGAATACTGCCTGCCTGGTTGTTTTCTTGACCTGACCACAGGCTTCTTTTTTTAATTGCTGAGTGATATCCTGTACTCCGGTTATTATGGCCCTAGCAATGGTTGCATTTACACAGTACTGCAAATACGTGATTGTGAAATGCTTTAAGAAGCTTGAGGGTGAAGTTGCTATATAAATACGACAAATGAATACCTGTGTCCGGAGATAGGACTTGTAACGTTCAAATTACATTTTAAAATTAGATTTCAATGTACACTTTGAGGTGAAGTTTTCTTGCTGAAATAGAGAACAGGAGTGACATGATTTCTGTCTTAGAGTGTATGTCTACTGAGTCTTTAGTTATATTTTCATGTCTATGGGCTGTATTTAAGCAAAATATTTTTTCTGAAGTATACCCACTATGCCCTTGTCTTCAGTACTCTCCTTGGGTTCTTACTGCTCCCTTCACAGCTCTTCTGTTTCCTGTTCTTTTTTTTTTTTTGGTTAAGCTATCTGGCAGTATAGATTGATTGGAGTTCAGTCCCCATGAACGTGGAGAAACTTTTTTTTTTAAATAAATCTAGGGCTCTTCGTATACTAGTACTTTAAGGTGCCAGTCAATAAGATTGATAATGATGAGATTCATCCTAGCACCAAAAACCTAATCAAGAAATGTTTTCTATTGATCGAGGGGAGGAAATCAGTGCTGCAGTGTGATTGAAGTCATCAGTTACTTTGTGACAGGATTCAGAAAGAGTGCATGAAATAGGGCTGGAATCCAGATATTTTCTGTGTTTGAAATCACTTGTTCAGACCACCAGAAAACGTCACTTAGGTTCCGGGAAGATGATGTGTGATTGAAGTCATTGACCTGAGGCAATAAAAAGGCTTTGGAATATAAACTGGATTTTTTTCCACCCTTTTGAATTTGTGCCTCAAATGAGCAAAGGTGCACTACTGTTCTCTCTTTGCATCGTAGCGGTGCGTCTAGTGCTCTTTGTTGCCATTTGTTTTTCTCTCCAGTCTTCTTGTTCAGGTACAGTATGTTCCTCCTGATGGGGACTAATCAGATGGCCATTTGGTAGGGACATTTTCCAGGAAGCTGAGTTCAGCTGAGCATAAGCAACATTTGTTGTATACACTAATTGGAAACAAATTTACAAAAATTCTACTTGCCAGAAGTCATTCTGGCAAGTACAGAAGATTTAACATCATCCAACAAGTGCTATTCTTTCAGCTCTGGTCTTGTGCATCGCCAAACAAGTAAATTAGGAATAAATAACTGATGAAAGGCAACGAGTGTTGCTGGATTTCTTGTATTTTATTAACTGTGATTGTTCTAGTCTCCTCAAGTTCTTTTAGCTGCTTTAGTCAGGATGCTGCGGGGAACAACTGTCTGTATCATCCATGTGTGTTCTGCTGTATTATTCATTCTGTTGATGCAGTTAACACGTTGTAGGTGCTGGAGCAGCCTCTTAAAGCAGGGTGGAGGCTTTACCCTGTGCAAAAAGTCAAATTGACTTGGATGTGGAAGTAGAAAAGCACTGTGGTGTAGTGGATAGAGTGGAGAACTAGGAACTGGTAAACCCTGGATTCTGTGCCTGTGCCACCGACTTGCTGCACGATGGGGCTATGTCATTTGGTTATGCTTTTTTTAAAAACAGTGGCATCCCAGATTTTATTTCACAGTGAGCAATAAATACAGGCATAATCTTGAATTCTCGGGCAATAACGTGTATCATAGATGCCTGATTGCCAGAATGCAGCTATGCAAATAACCTAGGCTGCCTGCTGGAATCAGCAGCCCTTCATAAGAATAGACAGGGTAACAGACTCCTTTTCTCTGCACCTGTGAAAGGGAATAAAAATTCCTGCCTTTGCCTCTAGAATGCTTTGAGGCTTTCTTGTTTAGTGCTTGTACTTTTTTATTTTCATTGTGCCATGGAAAAATATGTATATAAAAATTTAATACTCCTGAAGACCCTGTCAAAATGAGAAACAGGTGGTTGGGTGTACTATCTCCCTTCTCTCCTTTGTGAGTTCTCCTCATACAAGTGGTCACTCTGGGATAATGATATGGTGGTTAAACACTTGCTGATAGCGGTAATTGAATACTAATCCATAACTGCCATGGCAGTTTCTGTAAATTCGCCTGTCTCTGGCAGGTTTAATACTTTAAGGGCAAGTTGGCATAACAAAGAAGAATGTGAGATGGATTTCAAAGCTCCATACAGCACTCCACAAATGCTTTTTGAGGTTTTAGGACCTGGCAAACTCTGCTTAATGATGATGTCTTGGCATAACTATCTGAAGAAGCCATTATTCTACAAACACTGATGTTTTAATCTCTTGAGGCCCTCTGACCTGTTAAATATGCCTGTGATCTATAAATGTGTAATCCAGCCTCTGTTCTTTGAAATCATCTCTCCTTTTGTGTGAAGGACTGTTG